AATACATATGTCTTTCTGAGACAAGCTTAATTTGCTTAATAAAATTATCATCTCCAGTTGAATCTGTTTTCCTAGAAACAATGTAACTTTGTTCTCAAAGCCACTTCTTTGGTTTCATGCCCACCATTGGGTCTCTCTACAACTTTTGATAATGCTACTTCTTAGTTTATAAAATTGAGACAATATCCCTTTAACTCCCTAATATGGTAATGAAGATGCTCTTCATGCCCAGAGCTTCCTTGCTTTTCTCTCTGCTCCCCTACAAGGGCTAGCATCAATACTTTTTGTTATTTTTAATTTGTAGTCTAAAAAATATGTAGACCTCATTTTCCTATTTTGTATATTTTTACAATGATTTCAACTGCCTGCTTTTTATTTTAAAGTTTTTTTATTTTTTGAGATTGTAATTACACAATCCCCCCCAATTGCCTTTCCTCCTTCCAATCCCTCCCAAGTACTCCTCCCTTGCTTTTCTGTCAAATCCATTGCCTCTTTTTAAAAAAATGTGGTTACAAGTTTTTTATGAATGTATGTGTTTGTGTGTACATCTATATCCCTAAATACATAAATATAACCTGCTGAGTCATATTTATATGTTTTAAGGGCTGACCATTGGTATGGAATAACCAGGCAGTGTGCTCTTTCCTGGTCAAGACTGTCTCTTCCCCTCTTAGCATTCCTTAATTGCTGTAGTTCTTTGACTAGGGTTAAGGTCTCATGAACTCTCCACCATGTTAGCATGTCTATTGGGATCTTCCTTGTTCACATCATGTTTAGGCAGCCATGTTGTTGAGAGCCTTTATGGGTCTAGCTTCTCTGACATTTCCAGGAAACAAAAATCTCACAGAAAACTTCTTGCAACTTCTTGTCTGCAGTTTGATTGGTTGTGATTTTCTGGAATGATCTTTCTCTCCATTGCAAGAAGTTTCCTTGAGGAGGGGTGAGAACTGTGCTTATCTATAAGTACCAGAAGGCACAATGCCAGCTTCAAAGGGAGGGAAGCAATCAGTACTACTGCACATCCATGATGTCTATGAACACACAGCTGACATGGCACTAATGCGTGCGATAATAGCATGAACACATTGGCAGTCACCACCATCTCTCTGAGAAAATCATGCGTGGTACTGGAAACCTAGTCAACTACCAGGCTCTAGTGAAGTCACGGATCTTGGAGGAGAAACTACAGCCACCACTTTACAAAGCCAGCGTTATTCCTAACTGCCTAAAAACAAAGATATTAGCCACACGTCACCCACCAGTGCCCTGCATTATCTCTTTGATCTTTCCTTTTACGTTATACATATTATTGACATTTGTGTTCTGTTCTGAAGTATTAACGAGATCTTCCTCTCTTTGTCTTCCAGGGTAGCTCTTAAACCTAAAAACCAATAAACAGTATTTACATTGTCTTGACTTTGTAAATATTTTTTCCCAAAATCCAGCTAAGTAGTGAGCCAAGAATACACTTCCTTCTTTACAAGTCCAGTGTCATAAACCGTGGGCCTCTTAAAGGAGATTTTGTTCTAGCATTATGTTCTCTTATACTCCATTAGTTACTTATAACCATATTTTATTTTATATTATATAACCATAATATATTATATATATATTATATTCTATAACCATATTATATATATATATACACACTTTGTAACAGGTTTTATCCTTCCGTAAATGATGTGCCTTTATTATGTCAACTCATTGAACAAATATTTGCTGAGTGTCTGCTAGGTGCTTGATGCTGTTTTGCGAGCTGGAGCCATAGCAGAGGAGAAGACAAGCACCAATACCTGCTTCTCATAGAGCTGATTCTAGTATGGGAAAGAGAGGAAACAATCAGATCAAAAAATAAGATCTGAGCCAGACGGTGGTGGTGCACGCCTTTAATCCCAGCACTCGGGAGGCAGAGGCAGGAGGATCTCTCTGAGTCCAAGGCTAGCCTGGTCTACAAGAGCTAGTTCCAGGACAGGCTCCAAAGCTACAGAGAAAACCCTGTCTCAAAAAACCAAAAATAATTAAATAAATAAGATCTGTAAAAACTTAAATAAAGTGGTATGGAGAAAACAAAATTCAGGTGTAATGGTGCACTCCTTAATTCCAGCATTCAGAAGCCTATAAAGAAGGGAGATCTGGAGTTTGAGACCAGTTTGTGTTACATATGAGCTACATAGTAAAGCTCTATCTCATAGAAACGAGGAACAGGGGGACAGGGAGGAACTAAAAAATCAGGGTAAAAGAGAGAGAGAGAATGTCAGAGAAGAAAGGAGGTTATTTCAGTTTTAAATAGGTTGGTCAAGAAGTAACTCCCTGAAATGACAAAATGTGAACAAATCTTACATAAGTTGAGAGAGCTAAGTGGATATCGAGGAAAAGATTTTTCAAGCAGAAAGATCAGTGCAAACACATACCCATGACATCTTTACCCACCCCTGGCATTTTGAAAGAACATGAAGCAATAGAAGGAGAAGGGAGAGAAGTAACAGGCTGAGTGATGAGAACGGAAGTGAGGGCTTGCCTGCCTAGCTCCTCACATAAGGCTCTCTCAGTGAACCTTGGTGGCTTCCACCATTTTAACAGAGAGACGGAAGAATGCAGATTGGGTCTTAAGAGGACCTGGAAATACACTGGTGGAGGACAGAAGAAGAGAACCAGCGTGGGAGCTGCTGCAGTGGCTGAGACGGAGTCGCAGGCTTCTGGATTCACTATTCCGGTGCCTACGCTAGACGTCTTTCTTCAGCTGTAGGAAATTAACGTCTAATACATTTTTATTTTGGTTTGGGGGTAGAATTTCCCACTATGCAGCGCTGGCTAACTTGACACTCACTATGTAGACCAGACTGACCTCTGAGCTGCAGCAACCCTCCCCGGCCTTGCCAGTGTTGGGGTGGATGACAGCTATGCAGCACCATGCCCAGCTCCTGATACCTTTAAAAAACTTGTTTAAAAATTTTTTCCACCCTTTTTCCTCATCCTGGGTCGCCTTGTCCAGCCTTAATAGGAGGGGAGGTGTCTAGTATTACTGCAGCTAAATATGCCGTGTTGCTATCCATAGGAGACCTGCCCTTTCTTGAACAGAAACAGGAGGAGTGGATGCCATAGGGGCAAAGGGCAGGGAGACAGACTGGGAGGAGAGAAGGGAGGGGAACTGGTAGTCTGGACATAAAAAATAACAATTAAAAAACCTTTTTCCATACAATATATTTTATCATATTTGTTCCCTTCCCCAAATTCCTTCCAGATCATTCCCACTTGGCTGCCCACCCAATTTCATGCTCTCTCTGTCACTCTGTGTCAGTCTGTCTGTCTCTCCTCACAAAATCAAGGAAAAACAACAAAAAATTTTAAGAAAACAGATTTTACAAAGGGAAAATTTAATATGTCGAATATACCAAAACAAAATCAAAAACCACACACAATGTTTCATTAGTTTTCTTTTAGTCTGTAGCTCATTTCTCTGAATGTTGTGTCTGCTATGTTGATCTGTGTCTTTGACATTTTTCTTTCATATTTCCTGTTTGTTTTGTTGTTTCACTTTACATTCCAAGAGTTTTCCTCTATGTTATTTTCCAATCTTTCTGTTGACATTTTTATTTCCAGCAACTTCTTTTCCATTTCTGAGGTGTCTTTATTTTCTCTGATTGTTTTGTTTTGTAGCATCTAATTCTTGTTTCATATATATCATATTTTCTTGAATGATTGGCAGGTATAATTTTTTCCCTGAAGTTCTCTTTTGTTTATCAAATTCCCGACTTTCTCTGGGTTCATTTGTTCTATTTGTTTGTTTTGGCTTCTTGATTTCAGGGTGCAGGCTTTCTTAATTTGCCTGGGAACCCTTGGTTATCGGTTTGTCTTTAAGAGATAGTGGGCACCTGATGGAGTTTTCTCTGTTGCTATATAACAAAGCTTTTCTGAAGCTAGCACTGTCCCCTATGAGGAAAGTTTTTTCTTCTTCTGTTTTAAAGAGATGGGCTCACATATTCTAGACTGTCCTTAAATTCCCTATGAGACTAAGGACAAACTTGAACTTCTGATCCTCCCGCCTCTACCTCCTGAGTGCTGAACTTAGAGACAAGCTACACTACATCCCGTTTGCACAGGGCTGAAGACCCGACCCAGCATTTCATGACTGTTTGGCAGGTATATTCTACTGACTGAGTTACATCCCTAATGCCTGCACCTGCGCTGGGAAAACTGCAATGGGAAGCTTTGAGTGGGTTTGGAGTAGGCGGCAACTAATAAGATTTGGGAACCCCAAAGGCCAGAATGAGACTTTGTTGTACAGTGCTGAATGTCATAGGGCAAATCCAGGTGTCTTTGTCATCTTTGTGCCAGTTTATGAAAAGTCCTCAAAGGGTTTTGTCCTTTGTAGATAGATGCTGGATGTTTTGTGAATGTAAGTGTAATAAAGGCTCTGATACATGCTAATGGCCCCTGTATGGGGACACTACTCAATCCATCTTCTACAGGACCTTCAGATACTGGACTCAGAGCAGCATCTCAGCTCTGCTTCGTTCTGCCCCTTTCATGTCCCCAATGGGACAAGGGGATTCCCTTGCTCTTTTGTTGGCATTTTTGAGACAGGATCTCACTGTGTAGGCCAACTTGACATGGAACTCACCATGCAGCATAGGCCAGTGTCAAATTCATAGTTTTTCCTGAAAAAGTCTCCCAAATGCTGGGCTTATAAATGTGTGGCAGCTGTACTTTAATTTTTGCCATTCCTCATCCCAGCATGCATTCACTGAATACCTCCCAGATATCAAACATCCCCAAAGTGCCAGCTCAATGCTGACACTTTAGGAAATGGCACTGTTATCCTCATTTCGCAGATTAGGGAAATGAGGTAGCAGAGTGGTTAAGTTTCCTCACCGAATATTATGCAGCCAGGAAGCAGCCAAACTGCAATTCCCACCCAGATGTCCTCAGTCCCGAGCCTCTATTTTAAACGACTGAATGGTCCTCTTTCTCATCTCCACTGCAGCCCATCTTGACCTCTGGCTGGTCTTGAGATTGGAAATCGCATGTCTGGAACCCCTACACCGTTATAGTCCCTCCTGTGTCAAGACTAAAGTGAGCAACAGAAAAGACCAACGCCGGGTACTTGCCTCTCCAACCCTCTTTAAAGGCTGCTACCTTTTTAAGATGATCAGTGCTCAGTGACCTTTCTCTGGCTCCAGTTATTGAGCTCCAGTGGATGTTTATAGGAAAGAAAAACCCCACCCTGAGCCAACATAGCAAACAGACAGACCCAGCACTCTGGTATGCTTAGTTTCCATTCATCTTACAGCTGGATGAAGGGGAAAAAGGAGGCACCGAGCTGGCCCTTCTCCAGGCAAGATGCCAGCCTAAGCTCTTGGACAATCCTGGTTTGTGTAGGCCTCAATGCCACATTCAGAGACTTCCCCACCCTTCAGCATGATCCCTCCCTCTCAAGAGAAGGCTACCTGCAGATTTAAAAGAGGAAGGCCTTGGGGATCAGACATTCTGGATGAGAACAGCAGGCCCAGGCCAGAAGTGGCACCATGTCTGAATGGAGGTGCCTCGGCCGTGCCAGTGTTTTGCTGACCATTCTCCTAGACCTAACACACCAGGGACCCCATGGCTCTGCCTCGCCAACCAGCAAGGTCAGTTCTAGAATGAGACGACAGCGTTCTGGAGTGTGTGAGAAAGGTAGCTCCTTAGGGTGGTGGGAGGAGCCGAAGTTTCGCAGTCTGTTTCTGCAGGCTTGAGAAGCTAGGGCCAGAGAAAAGAGGTACTGATTGCTAAGTGCAGTGCAGGTGATGTGCCAGGAGGCTTGGTTGTTGCAGTGAGTCTTCACGGCATCCCCGTGAGCCACACTCTCTTATCCCCATTAGAGAGAGGAGGAAACACAGGCTCAGGGCCCAAGACATAGGAAGCAGCGGAGCCAGAGCTTGAGCCTCGCCCAACTGATTCCAGATTACCTCTCTGACCCACTTCCCCGCACTCAGAACAGACAAGACGGACGTGATGTGTGGGTGGACGGAGGGATCATAACTTCAGGGAAGATAGGGAAGAAGATAATTATCTCACTGCTCGGTGACCTCAGTGTCTGAGCCTCAGTTAACATGTCTGCGAGATGTGGGAGATACTAGAACTTAACTCCTCAGACCGTGAGGATTAAATAGGATCTTGGGTGCTGAACACTTACCATGATTGCAGTATATTACTGTACTTAGCAGGCTTAATCTTTACAGCTGAAATCATAAAAAGCTAAATATTTATCACATTGCCTTGTAATAATGTAGGGCCTGGTGAATACATCTATTCTGTTAGAGTCTAAAGCTTTGCTAAGATGTTCTGTTCATCTAAAAGTGAAATCCATGAACCAACAGTAGCCTCAGCAGTGGGGGCTTCCAGGGAATTTGAAAGCAAGGAGGACATGAGCCTCTTCCTGTCCCAGGGTTGCTAAGTTAGAACCCATATTTAGCAAGACCTGAAATCAGAGAAGTGCTTGTCCAGAGGTGCTTTGATTTGGGACCTTCTGGGAACCTTTAGTTCTGAGACTCACTTACTGGCAGTCTCAGACAGGTCCATGCATGACAGCTCACTTTTCCTCAAGGTACCTCAGTTTCTCCTCCTCCACCCTAAAACCAGTCCAGGAACCTTGAGCTCTCAAGTACCTGGCCATCTTGGCCAATAAAGAACTCTCTCTAACCCGCCTCTCTTGCATTCTCTCTCAGTTGTTGATGACGGCCTATTCCATACGTTCCACGGTGGTGTCTCGTTATGCACACACTCTGGTCACCTCTGTTCTCTTCAATCCACATGATGAAGCCCATGAAGCCACCTTTGACCTGGATCTACCTCGCATCGCCTTTATCTCCAATTTCACAATGTAAGTCCGCTTCCAAACTAACTGCTTCATTCCTTTGTTCATACATTCATTCAGCCTGCTTTCTACTTCACTAGTGCAGAGCAGTTAAGAGGATACATTTTAAAATCAGACTCCTTGATTTTGATTTCTTCCTCTGCCTGCTGTGGAACTCAGGACAAGCTACCTAACTTTGAGTCTTACTTTACACATCTGTAAAATGCAGATAAAATTAGAAACCACTTGCAAGGATTAAATAAGTTAAGACATGGGGGATCTATGCTAACATAAGTGCCTGGCATATGATAAATACTTGATAAAAATAGCTTTAAAAAACCTTTTCCTGATACTGAGGGCATGACTGACATGGTTCCGGCTATGATGGAAAGATGAACTACACACAGTTCCTGCTCTCAGTCCTACTGTCTAATGGGGAACACAAAAAAATGAGTTAGCTGATTTAAATAAAATACCCTAGGAGGAAATAGAAATCTGAATGCAAAATGGTGGGGACTCCAAGGTCCAGCAGGAGACAAGGATAAGTTCTGAACTCCCATCAATGGAAGAAAACCTCGGATAAATGACACTTAAACTGAACTTCAATCATGAGATGGTCACTAGCCAAGCACTATAGAAGTAAGCCTGAAAAATTAAGGCAATAGAATTAAGATACAAAAGTTCCCAGATGAGGAGAAAGTGCATGTACCTCTATGTCACTGAAGTGCAGGCGATAGGCAGAGGGTAGAAGAGAGGTCAGAAATGAGAGTTGAGAGGTAGGCATAGACTCGGCTCTCGGGGTCTCCACTGTGAAACCAAGTCCATGGGACACACACAGATTAAATATACTATAGAACAAATGCATGTTGTGAGGAATGTACATGTAAGTCATCAAAGAATAATGGGAAGCTCTAGAAATAAACTGTTAATATTCCCCCATTCCCTTTCATTTGTCCCCAGCATCCCAGGGACCTATATAGTCCATGTTAGAGATAATTGGGCCCTTTAGTGAAGAGACGTGGCAATGTGGTAAGCAAGGAGTGAGCATAGTGATACAAGGCTAAGCTGGAAGAGGCAGCCAAGAAGCTGGGAGGTTGAAGAGAGTCCTGTGCTAGAACGTGGAAGGAGAACTTGACAGTGGACCTTGAGAGATGATTGGAGAAAGCAACAGCCTCTTCATGATGGGAGCATGATTGGCAATTGCCTTTTTCTGTTTTGTTTTATTAGATGGTGTGAGATGAAGAATGAGGGAAGAGGAAAGCTTTGTGGGGTTGCATTAACCCACATGTATCATAGTGTGAGTTATGAAAAGGCTTCTGGATTTGGGGTGTAGCTAGGATGTAGATGTTGTCATAGTATACCAAAACCTTGGATTCAGTTCCCATCACCAGGTAAAACTGCCATGGTGGCACACATCTGTCATACAAGCACTCAGGAAGTGAAGCAGGAATATCAGAAGTTCAAGGTTATCATGCGCAGCTATGTATAGTGTGCTCAAGTTCAGTGCCAGCCCTAGTTACAAGCGAGTCTGCTTCAAAAGGACAAAATGAAAGAGGACTTCTGTCTTTGAGTGGAGCCACTCTCAGCATTGGTAGATCAAGTTCAAGTCAAACAGAATTTCTGCCCTTGCTTGGTCACTCTCGCCCCATGACTTGGAGCAGGCTCGTGTGCTATAAACATTCTTTACAGCCCTAAGCCCATGTCCTGCCATCAAGAACCTCCAGGCTGCACATTGGAGGGTGGCTAGGTTGGAAGAGGTGATTGGTGTGAAGTCAGTATAGGGAAGAAGAAGAAGGAGGAGGAGGAGGAGGAGGAGGAGGAGG